TGCCTCCGTGCCAGCGTGGGCTCCGTCTTTCGCGCCTGAGAGCGGGGCTTGGTGCTCGGGGCTGACGGTGCAGGCGGGCGCAAATCCCGCCTGGGTCCCGTTTTACTCTCGGGGAAATGAAGGCAGGAGGGATTTTTCCGAGTCCTTTTGCCGAGGCGGGGGGAAAGCTGCAAACAGAAGACGGATCCCGTTATTCTCCGTCCAGTGCTTGACTAAGTGAATCCCACTGGCAGGCAGAACTGTCCGTACGGACGTGCACCGAGCCGCTTTACAGCGGCGAGCGGAGAGCCGAGCGGAGTTGGAGCAGGGCACGGCGCTGCTCCAGGCTTCCTTCTCGCGGCTGCAGGCAGCCAGAGCCGAGCAAACCCAGAGCTCCCCTCCCCATCTCTTCATGCAGGGATGATGGCCTTAAAGTTTGTCTTGGTGTGTTTACTTTACATGATATGGTGCAACTGTCAGGGTACACAGGGGATAGGGAATCCGCGCGCTGAAACCAAAGGGGACCGTACGTAGCGCGATTCAGAAGGAAAGTGAGATACGTGCGTAGAAACATGGAATCCAAATGCTTTTAGAATCGCGGGGTAAGTTTGGGAAGGAAGACTGAATCGCGATGTCCGTTTTAATTAAAGACACCCACCTTGGGAATCAAACTTATATTTTCACTCTCTTACTCCCACATTTACCTGTCTACAAGCTGGTGATTCATCCCCAGAATAAAGGACATTAATTTAAAACAAAACATATAATTAAAGGAAGTAGGAGTGTCCTTCACCTCAGTAAAGAAGACCTAGCACTGCAGGGAAAATGACACTGCCTCTTAGAATAATGTGAAGCAATCCTGCGGTGTGGGAAATATTGTAACGTTAAGCCAGAGGAACAGGTATTGCATTATACGATTCAGTCAACTGTTCATAATGTTCAAACCTCAGAACTTCGAAAAGAGGAAGAATTCAAGAATCAGTCAGTGGATCATCGGACTTTTTCTTTCTTTTATTTTTTTCGTTTGCTTTTTCTTTTAACAATTTAAAAGGTTTTTTTCTTTCCATAACAAAAGTACCCTAACAGGTTTTCAGGCTTCAAATATTTCTAGTTCCATCTTTATCTACCAAGTTAATCTTTGGTGAATGCACCAGAGATTAAATTGGAGCTGGGCCTGGCCAGAGAGCTGGGTCTGGAGGTTGTAGTTGGAGCCCATACCTTCATAAATACAAACATCTGTATTGGGTGCAAATACTGGCAAGTTGCAGTGAGCCAGGGCTTGTTCTTCTGGCTGTTTACTCCCTCATTCTGCATCTTTATCCTGCATTCTGATCTGGCAGTTACATCCAGTGGCTGCCCTAACTGGCCCTTGCAACTGAACTCTTGAAAATCGGTCTCATGTGCTTCCCACCTCCAAAACATCTCAGGGACTCACAAGCAGAAGGTCTCCTGCCATGGTGGCCTGCTGAAATGCATGGTTGGTCTTTCTTGGCATTAGCCCGACAGGTCTCCAGCTGGCCACAGCCGTTGGCTACAATTGAACGTTAAAACTGGTTGGTAAATTTCCTGGGCAATTTTTCAAGATATTTTCAGAGATCTAAATTTGCCCTCTTCAAATTTCTGCCCTGATCTCTGCTGCTCTGCAGCAGAAAGTTGTACTCTGCCCGGGCTGATCGTCCCTAACAAAATAGAACATCTGTGCAACTGTCATGTGAAACAGATTATATCAGGGATGGTGTGGCCCACACCTCCTTTCCAGGCCAGTGCTGAGTAATCCCGTAGTCACCGGGATCACACGTCAGTCGGGGTGGTAATTGAGGTTGGATGCCCAGCTTGTCCCCTCCTTCCCTTCTCCCCCCTCACCTCCCTGCTGTACCTGGATCTCTTTAAACTTCCTCCAGCTCACCTCAGATCCCAACATCCACTCTCACGGAGCTGACGTCCGTTCTCAGCTTCTCATGGGAACCTTGTTGGCGGGACTAACCACTTATCCAAAACCCTAGCATTTGGCAAGCAGGTTTTGAGCTAAGTCTGGTCTCTTTTAAATTGTTTCTGCACTTGTTGTAACAAATGCATGGCCAGAAATGGGGTTTTTGAAATAGGAACAGGTGCAAAGCGAGGCTCGCACCACAGAGGATTGGGTGGGGGTCTGGGCACACCGAGCTCTGTCCCTGCAAGTGCCGTGGCTTGGCCTGGCCAGATGTGCAGAGGCTGCTAATAATCGTCCTGGAAAACCTCCTCAGAGAGATGCTTTAGATAGGAAAAGAGATGCAGACATTCCTGCTGAAGGGATCTGGGCACTGGTCTCACGCTGTGAAAAACCCGAGGGCAGCAGCCCTTCTCGCAGCATGTCTCCCAACAGAGCAATTTTCAGCAGAAAGGCAGCACTTCTGTGAAAAGCACCTTCTTTCTCGTGATTTCATGATTTCTTTTTTTTGAAACTAGTCAGCTGAGGAAGGAGACAGCATAACTCACAAATTACTTAGTAAGAACATCAACATTTCTGAGCAGAAAAAAAAAATTCTGATGCAATAGAATCCAGATTTGTCTACATTCATGTGTGAAACAATATAGATACTGGGAGGGTAACAGAAGGATACCAGAACGGTGAAAAGGTGGAGGGAAGAATCTCATCCTCACTGCTGCTTTCTGTCATGAATTAAATCCTGCTCTCCAGTTTCCCTTTTGTACTGTAGAAGCCACAACTTTCCAGCTCCAGGCTCAGACCTACAATAAAGCATTGCAGAGGCATTTTCTTCCTGGAAATTGTCTTCTTTTCCAGGATTTATTGCAAGCTCTCCAGTTCACGTGCTCCAGGTCTACAGTAGCTGTCCCTGGAAGGACACCAGCTTTGGGGAGATGCTATTTAATGGTGACCGCTCAAACACTGAAGTGTTTATAAGGAGGTCTGTGGACAGAGGATCATACTCTAGAAAAAGGCTAGCTGTAATTTCTCATGCTTCTTGCTGCAGACTTGTCTGGTGTTACTTGCCTTGCAGTAGCTCTTAGCAGATCAGTAAGATCAGAGCTGCATTACGCTAAACCCTGTGTGAACGCAGCTGCTCACCCATAGGCCTGCGGTCTAAAGCAACACAGAAGGGCAGAAGAGGGGCAAAGAGGAAAGAAGTTAATGTCAGAAGTTGACAGCTGCATCAGCGAACAAGATGCTGTAGTCAGGTGAGCTGAAGAGGAGAATGTGAGGGGTTCCAGAGCAGTATCCATGCACGCGGGCAGGCTGGGAGAGAGCACAGAGGTGGTGTGGGAAAGTCTCTGGGGGGTAGGAGGGGACCTTGCCTGAAAGACTGACTTAAGTGGAGCAATGTTGCAATAAAGGCTGCAAAATAGAGAAGTAAAATTGAAATTTACTTCTGTGCATGTTGTGCACTCTGTTTTTTCTTCTTCCTAGCCCCAGGTCCTTCTTTATACAGCCCCACATCTCACGCCAACAGCAAGCTCATAAGTTGTACCTGGCAGAGGCCAGATTTCAATCTATTGCTTTCCACTTGCCCTTCTCTGCTGTGAAAAACAGCACTTATGAAATGTCAGACAGAGAGAATGTCTCAACTCGGAGAGAGGTTGGCTTTCCTTCCGTCTCCCCCCACCTCTCAGACCAGGCTCGAGACTTTGCCTCATTTTAACATAAAACCCGATTGCCACATGCTTTCCTCTCTTCTGAAATCGCAGCTGCGATACTCTGCCTTGCAGTCCCCAGTGGCAGGGAGCTCCCCAGGCGGTTGCAGGCCATGTCTCCTGGCCTCCTTCGGTTCTTTTGTTACAGACCAGAGTCTTCCCCCTCCCTAAGTGCTCCCTCACCCCTTGTTCCCATGTGACATGGTGATGCTCGGGTATTTGTTGGTCTTCTGCTGATTTTTCTGCTCACCTCTGACCTAGCATGCTTGGCCTTTGCTGTGCTGGGTTGCTCAATCCCCGCTTTATCTACATGTTGCTCTTTGCCCCACCGAGTGCTGCAGAGACGACACCTGGAGATTGGCACCACTGCCTCCAGCCGGTGGGACAACATGAGCGAAATACCTTCCCCTACCAGACTGAAAATTTTCCAGAGCAAATTGGAGGTCAGAGCACCCACTCTGTGGCTCAGCGAAAGAAAGAAAAGGAAGGGAGAGCCAGAGCGCACACAAACGCCCGTGGAAGGGAACGGTGACAAAGCAGAAGCTACAGTCTCCAGTCCTGCGTTGCAGAGAAAGTCCATGTTGAAGCCATTTGGCTGGCAAGACGTGGGCTTTCTTTCTGAGTGGGGACTGTAAGAAAGAGGTGACTTTGTATTTTATGAGTAGCCTGTTTCCTTGTATTCAAAACAAAATGGCAGAGAAGCTGCTGTCCACTAATTTTCCAGAAGTTCTCCATAGTTGTCTGACATTTCCTAGGTAATCGTAGCCTCCTGCTTTGATGAATTTGTTACAGATCACAGGTTAATGCTTTTTTCCGGGGTATCCAAGCTTTCAAAAGATCCATCAAGGGAATAGGAACCCTATCCTTCCAGGATACCCTGCCAAGTGTCAAAAGATCCCAGTAAAAGCAGTTGGCAATTCATTTAGGAAATTTCTAAAGGAGAAGAACTATTCAGAGGTCCTCAGGCTGCAGGCCAGTTAGCTGGAACTCCACGGTTTGTATTGCCAGGGGCAGC